GATTATGTGCGTAAGCGTCCTTGAATAATAAAAACAAACATGGCTGCCACCAGGATTTGACCAGACTCCATACAAAGAAGTTCAGTGATTCTGTTCTAATTTTTTTGGATTTCGGCATTTCCATGATGTATCCTTGAAGGGAAAAGATGAATAATAATAAGGTTATTACGAAGATACCTCAAAGTATGCACTCAGACAGTACGCTGTCGCATCGACCTCCGCTACGCGTCAGTCGATACTGCAGCTGTACTGTCTTTGTGCATACTTTGAGGTGTCTTCATAATAACCTTATAATATATTACAAATGGTATTAATATGCAGTAAGTTTGATGGTGAGACAACGTTGTAGCTGAATTGTTTCATCTTTTTAATTCAGACATTCAGAAACTTATACTAATTGCTATGTACCAAAAGAAACGATTTGAATTTCATTGTGCAGTGACTTTAATATCAAAATACCAAATAATATATTTGACCATTTAGTCATTGATCTTAGCAAAAATAAAAGCATCTGAAAATGCAGTTTTCAGTCTGTTATAAATTTCTTATATAATATTATTACTGTAGTAGCATCATGTGATGGTGCTACAGTAATATACTATGTATTTTTAATTTATTTGCTCTGCATTACGTACTTTGACAGTTTTCTCATCCATACTTGATTGGTTGTCTGCTTTTTCTGAATCAAGTCTTCTTGATAATCTGAAATAAAAAGCATAATTTTATAATGTTCTTGTGAAAACACTATAGGCAAAGTATTTGGTCCTCTGGAGTTTTCTCGACGTGATTTAATGGCATTGAATATCCAACGAGGACGTGATCATGGGCTGCCTGATTATAACACAGCAAGGAGAGAATACAATCTTGCAGAAAGAGCAAATTTCAGGGATATCAATCCAAATCTTCCCGATGATGTAAGTATTAACTTGATAGAGTTGTATATATTAATTCAATAAAGTTAAATAAATAAAAAATAGAAAAAACTCCTCTGTCTATTAAAACATAACAGCATCATAAAATTGCAGCATTGAGTTATTATTTGATTACACATATATGTATGAATGTGTAAAATATATTTAAAAATATGAACTTGTACATGGATGTTGTGGACACAATCCCTGGGAAAATATAATTGGCAATTATAAAATTATTGTTGTTTACCTGTGTCAGTTTTGTTAGTGCAAATATACATTGCTTTTTAAACAGAGATCAAACTGTCATTTTGCATCAAATACGTGTTGTTACTACATCAGTGGTTCGCTGAAAGTCAGCTGATTGTATATGCCTGCTGGGTTACAACGCCATATATGGCTGTATTATTACCCATAGTTTCTTATGCCAAAAAACACATTGCCTTCCATGCATTTTATCACTGAAGTCGCGATAAAGGATGGAAAACCACAAACATTTAACAGTTTTGAATGGAATAAAGAATGATTGTTAATATATTTATTCAATTTATTTTTTAATTTTACTAGTAAGTAAAAATAGTTGAAGTGGATTATACATCAATTTCACAGTGGTCGTCGTCATGACAAGTCAGATTTCTTTTTAGCAATGAACTAATCTATTGATTATTTGGATTTTCAGTAATGAATTGTGACTGTGAGCTTCCCATAAATTTGTTGTGTCATAGTTAATTTCAGTACTAGACATCGTTGTCGTAAACTCTGATTCAAAACCACTTTGGTGACTGCCGGGACATTGCAAATCTTTAAAACAAAACAATGCAACAGCTACAAACAGGATATGCTGGAATTTTAGATTGGAACTCACTTTTAATTAATCTCCCCGAATTCGAAAAGATACAATTATGAATCAATTTGAACATAAGCAATACATGCCCACTTTCATGATCGGGAATAAACCTGAAACACTCCATTCAATCTTAATCAGCTAAATGTTCTGCAAAGTTAATACTA